GAAAGCTTAGATTGCAGAGCTCTGCAGGTGTCACTGAGGAAGCATCTACTACATGAGCAATTTTAGTTTAGTAAGCAAGAGTTTGCACGCTTTATTTCAAAGAAAATAAGTTGTGTTGTTCCAAAATATTAAAGTGGTTTTTTATGTCGGTATGTATGATTAACAGTGTTGACATTAGTTGACAAGGATGCCTCCTGGGTGAGGTGTTCGGGGCAGGAGGAGGCCCCGGGGTAGACCCAGGACACGCTGGAGAGATTATACCGCTCAGCTGGCCTGGGAACGCCTCGGTGTTCCCCGGATAAGCTGGAGGAGGCTGTGGAGAGGGAGGGAGGACTGGGCTTCTCTGCTTAGGCTGCTGCCCTCACGACCCGGCCCCGGATAAGCAGAAGATGATGGATGAATGGTTGGACATTAGTCCATGTGAGATCTTTAGCTGTCTGCGGATGGATTTCCTCATTCTCTTGAGAATTGTATTCTTTTGTTTTTCCTACTATAAAAAAATGAACTCATAATAAAGGAACTGAATATGATGAACTTGCCACAGATCTTCTGCTGGCTGTGTCATCATCTTCTGGCTCTTCGTGTGATCCTGATTCTTCTCTGAACTTTTTGGAGTGAGGAATAAAGTCATACTTACACATGCAGTCTTTTAAATCGATGCCAGACTATACAAACAACTACAGCTGGCATTTATTTGTAATCATGACAAAAATGTTATTGCTGTCTGCCTGCTTCTTGTTTCCAAACACAGTCCAGCACACAGCACGAATAAGCTTTCAAAAGAATGCAACAAGCACATTTCTGTGTATAACCCATCATTAGAACCATTAGAACCAACCAAAATGACCATTTCATTGACCCACCCAAATTTAAGAATGTCCACCCTTCAACGTCACCCAGAGAGCAGCTCAGGAGGTACAAATATCCTCGGACAAGATCCTTACCCCGAGTCTCCGATCCATGTGAGCAGGCGAACGAGGCATCGAGTGCCACAGGAAACACCTAACAGGAACCGTGTCCTGCTCATCGAAAGTAAAAAAGATTTTTGCCTTATTGCATCTTTGTGGCGTGACGTTTGGGCCTGCTCTGAAATCGGGACACCAAGAAACCTGTGGAGTCAAATCAGGCTTGTTGGAAAAAAGCAGTCGTCTTTATTTAGCATGTTTCACAACAATGAATACTTTGAGCCTTTCACCTGTTTCTATGTGGGAGAATTTAACTGTTAATTGAACCAATTGAGAAAATCTGCCTCCTGTTCCCAGACAGGTCCACCCCTTAACCTGCAGTCGGCTCACGTGTGCAGCAAGCAGCGTCTTCAGCATTAAAACATGGAGGTACGGGTAAGGTTACACAGCTGAAACTACACCTGGCTGCACTGCTTAGCCTTCCACATGAGTGAGCATTACTGCAGTACGTAGAGCAATGCACGCACGCTGTGCACTGTGGTGACTGCCCAGCACAGCCCAGTGCTGTCCACATTTTGAGGCACTCCTAGTGCTGTGACTCAGACGAAGGCTAAACTAGTTTAGGAGTAGCTGATGAGGGAGGAGATAAAGACTGGCAGGGTTGGTGCTCTGAGCACTGTGCTCTCAGTGGGATGTTGTGGGCATCGTGGTGCTCCACGCGCTCCTCTTTAAGGTACATCAGCGTCTCAGGGACAAACCACAGACCCCCCACCTCCAGCCAACCGCCACAAACGAACACGTTTGCTCTGAACAGCTTTACCAGACTGCAGGTACGGTCACATGACCAGAGAGAAGATACAAGGCAGGGTTAGATGACGTTAGAGCTCTCTGTTCAAAGATGGTTTCTGGCAATAGACGTGATGCAGTCCACACACTCGGGTCCATGGTCTCAGACCTTTAACCACAGCGACTGGAGGAGCGAGGTCACGGTACACGCCACAAACGGTCTCTGTACACAGAACAACACCACCCAGCACCTCATAAGGAAGTACGCACGTGGACACCTGCTGCGTGTAGGAGCTGTGAGGTCACACAAAGGAAAGCTTTCAACGACAGCAAGCTTCACGTGCGCGTTTTACGTCCAGTTTGTCCAAATGGTCACAACCACTCATTTGTAAGTGAGACATCCTGGTAGTTTGCAGGTTTAGCAAATCCTTCACCCTGTCTCCGTGTTCCTGCACACATGGATGTAGATTTGGGGGAGCCACAGGCTTGTGTTTCATTTTACTAATGCAACTCGATGACATCAAGCATTTAAATCAACTGTCTGCTGATGGAGCAGCTATTTTACACGGTACCCTTATTACCATGGTTACATGAGCTGTTGCCAAAGTGGCGTTTTCACTTCCAAGTGAGTGATGTCAACGATTTGGGCAAAGCGTTGCTGTAAGCCCGCCTCTGTGTGACGGCTCGTGCTGCCTGACCCGATGACGTCGCCGACTGTGTCACAGGATGGATATGCAGACTACACGACAACAGCGGGATGTTTAAAAAGACAAGCGAAGTTTGAAGCAGCGTGACGAGAACATCACGCAGCCTGTTGACCGATGAGGAGGAAAAGCGTTCGAAATAGGAGGCGTTGGCTGTTCTGAGGGGAAATGATTTCACAGTCCTTATTAGAGACACAGTGGTTACACCTGTTTCACTGATCGGGTCACAGCGCTGTGTCCACACAGACACACCTGTGTTATCTGTGTGTAAACAGAGAGGTGTGAAGGTCCACAGCAAGTCAGGCTAAGCTTACAAAACAAAGCGGCAGCAGGCGCACGGCGAGCACGACGAGCACGGCGAGCACGGCCTCTTTCACCCTCAAAGAGACAAACTGAGGAGAGCTCGCCTCATGGCTCCTGGATGCGAACGAGAAGACATTTACGCGTCACCTGATGGTAGGGAGATGTTTCATCAGCTGACCAGATCAAAGTCCAGCTTTACACTCCAGACTCACGTCACCGTGAACTAGGATGGCTCGTTAGATTGCAGGTGTAACCACAGCAACAGACGAAGCTTTATCAGGTCTGCAGACGTACGGGGGAGGGGCTATGCAGCGTGAGCCGTTTCTACGACACCGAGTACGTGCTGGGCTTCTACCTGTCCGCTGTTGGCACAAGGAGAGTGTCTGACTCTCAGCGACTGGTCTACATGTGTACGTCCTCCACAGCGTGGCTACGGTATGCACTGATATATAAACACTGACTTTATTTAGAATCCTCAACACAGGCAGACAAGGAAATAAAACGAACAATAATGGCAACCTGTGACCAAAGAACAAACATTCTGAAAATGTCTAAGTGCACTTACACATCTCTGCATGTCCCCCAAAGGAAGAAGGCCCGAAACTGAGAAGGAGAACAAGCTATCCGATGTGCCGTCCTGGACCCGATCTCTCCACGCGCTCACCTCAAAACAGACCGGGTGGAAACGACGAGCAATGACTACGCTAGAGTGGAATGGTCAGTGGGAATACGATGTAGTAGCGAACACTAAACTAAATCTCTGTGGGAGCTGTGGGCGAGAGTTTGTCGTCGGGTTTATCGAGTTGGAAACGCGTCGTCCTGTATTTGCATTAAATCTTTTACATTTATCACAACAGGCAGGCATGAAAAACGTGACCCTTCAAATAAATAACGAGGAAAATGATCCTTTCTGTACACAGAAAGCACATTCACATGTGTGGATGTGGGAGCGGGGACTCGAGGAGGTCTCTACGGTTACACTGATGTGTGATGATGCAGGCACAGCAGCGGATCTATTAGAGAGATTTATTAGAACCACGTATCCACTTTCATTATTCACTTGCTTTTCCTCGAAACATACTCTGGCCTGTCTGGTCACCGTTGAGATTGTGTCTGATACAGGAAGGGCAGGGCAGGGTTTATGGGCGTTCTGAGTCTGTAGGGAGCAGGGGTTCAGAGCATGCCAAACCCTTTGGCATAGGTGATGGCTTTCAGCAGTCTCTCCCTCAGCTTCTCCTTGCTGTTGTACTCGGGCAGCAGCAGCACGTTAAAGCAAGTGTGGGAAGTCGGTAACCTGCCGAGAAACCACACATCACACAGACAACACGTCAGGAACGAAGCAACACCGAGTGTATGCAGAGACAAAATACAGGAAGCCGAGTAATCAAGGACTGAAGTACGCAGGCCGACGGGTCCACAAAGGGCTGTGATGTCTGCTGCTGTCACAATCATGTCCAACAAAAACAGCTTTAACTGGTTCATCCTTCCAGTGTGTTCACACTTCATAACAGCCAGTTTCTCGAGATACCTGCACTGGTGTGATGACTGATCAGTTTCCTCATCGTTTTACAACATGTGATGAAGAAAAAGGATATTGTTGCATAAATAAGCTGAATTTAAAGACAACTCTACCAAGGAATTCAGAGACTGAGGGACTTATTCTCCAACAATGTAGTTATGCCATTTGACCAAATGGTTGAGAAATATTCTCTCTCCAAACATGACTTTTTCCGCTACTTACAGATAAGGCATTATATTTTACATAGTACTAACTTTAGTGAGTCATTAAGTCTCTCCTGTTGAAAAATTATTATTTTTAACAGACAAAGTGAAGATATTTAATAAGGCTTTATATTCTGTACCTTCAGTGATGTCACAGAGGCTTAAAGGCACATGGG